AGCAGGGTTTTTTGGCATTTTCAGCTAAAGCTGATTAAATCAGCTATTACATAAAAGTGCCAAAAAAGCCCCACTAAAGCATCCAATCTATACAGATGCTGCAGAGCCAGGTCAAAATAATGTGTTGCTTCTGCTGGGTATGCGCTGGGTTCTGTGCAGGAGCATGCCCAATTTAAAGTAAAGTGTGGTTTGTTTTATTTTTCATGTCTACAAGTAGCGTTTTTACTTAAATATAATATTTGTTAAAGTTCAAGTCTAATCCCAATTCAAGCCAGAGTCTAGGGAATGAGTCAGATAACAGTCTGGGATTAGATTATTTCTTCTAAAATTTATGAAGTGTTTAAATGCATATCTTCTCTTCAGCTATCCCTCAATGTTGAGGATTACTGTCTTACATTGTTGTCTTATTTGTGTGTCTGATGATGGTTGATGATGCCTATCTGGGATTGACAGATTCTACTGCATCTCAAACGTGTGTTTCCATGTGGGGTGGGTGGCACTGGATTCTTGATTTGCTCCATGACACGCTGTTTGTGCTGCTCCTACTTTTCAGGCTCCTGTTGCTGTCATGAAGTTTCAAAGTACTGAGATCCCTGCAGCACATTTTTCCTTCATTTGGTATGGGCCAGGTGATAGTCTCCCATGAATTGACATCAATGTTGTATTTTTTTTAATTGACCTTGAGCATGTCCCTGAAGTGCTTTCTCTGCCCTCCTCTTGAGCCTATGCCTTGGCTGAGATGGGAGAATAAAAGTTGCTTCAAGAGTCTGGTGTTGGACATCTGAATGATACAGCCAGCCCAATGAAGTTGAAATTGGATGATCATCACCTCAATACTTGTTGCTTGCAGGAGGATGATAATGCTGGTGCATCTGTCTTCCCACTGGATTCAGAGGATCTAATGCAGGCAGCATTGATGATATTTCTCCAACAACTTTAGATGTTTCCTGTACATCTCAACCTCATATAGCAAGATGGGTATCACAACAGCTTGATAAACTATGAGCTTGGTAATTATCATGGGACACATGACTTTGTTCATTTGACAAATAAAGATAATTTAAAATTATGACAATACCTTATAATGTAAGGGAGTATTGAAAAAGAGTTGAAAAGTAATAAAATAACTCCCTTAGTATGTCACTGACTAACTCTTTGCTGAAGGAAACAGAATGTTTTCCCTCCTCCCCTAAGGAAATTTTGCTTGGCATGGGTTAGCAAAACTCAGGTTTCAGGATACCTGCTTACACTTTACTAATGGTGATCAAACAGTAATTCATCTGAATGCAATGAATGGTACATTTGATTATCTGATTTTTCCTTTAAGTGATATTACTTTTTCCCCCAAACATCACTTGCCATCTTATAAAGGTAAACTGACAATTTATAAGTTCACTACTGCTAGACTTAAGACTTTAATGCTTTGTACAGAGCTCTTCAAAATATATTGCATAAACATTACTGCTTTGCAAGAGGGTATGTATAACTAAGAGCTTTCACTGTGTTTTTAATGACTGCAATTATGTTTTTAACTTCTGGTTAACTTGAAAATACAAGTACTGTATTTTTCCTCCTATTATGTAATTCTTCTGTCATTCCATTTTTTTAATATCTTGAATTCTCAAAAGAGACAGGAGATTGTTTTTTTTTCCCCTAACAGTGAAGATGAGAAACAGGTTATGAAATTTATAATTGTTTTTTATTTCTGATTTCTCCTCTTCTCTCTGCCTCAAGCTTTCAAAGGAATCCTTAGAAATAGATCTCAAGTCAGTAACCTTACTGAGACCTTTCAGTGATAGCCAGATCCATTCATGGACCTTTTGCAGGGTCATGACGTTACTGTTACTCTGCATGAAAATCACTCTTTAACCTTTAAACACATATTAGAAATAGGCAGCGTTGTACATTCTGAGAAAACAGGAAATATGTTAATATGGTGTTATTTCATAACGCTATTTCCTGATATATAATGGCATCTTATTCTATTTCTTTTGCATTAGATTAAAATAAGAACTTATATATAGACAAAGGGATAAGGCAGTATTAAATTATAACATGGTCAAAATAAGCATTAGATAATTTTTGCTTTACTCAGAGGGAGGACTATATGTCTGGAAAATGGAGTAGTGGAGGCCCCCAGGGAGAAGGCAGCAGGGTGGGGTGCTCCCATGCCCACAGCAGCCAGGCTATATCTGCCCCCATCCCACATAAAAATCTGGGAGGCATGTGCCCTCTGTGCCCCTGCCCCTCCCCGGAGTGCACACAGCAGTTGGAAGCCAGCCCCACCCTCCCTCGGACAAGCCACCCATAGCTCTGCCCTGCTTCCCGCTCCTTTGAGGTAAATATGAGATAAACAGTGCCATATCTGAGCACATACAGTAGGGCACAGGATATAGATTATTAAATATTTAAAGCCATAACAGAACTCTAGGTTATGTAGTCTGGTTGTCTTACATATTAAGATAATGTAAAGACATATCACATGGTCAGCTAAAGCAATGGTTCATAACCTTTTCAGATTCAAAACACCCCTTGTTTGACTCAAAGCACCCCTCAGAAAATGCCAGCTCTTTGCTTTCACTCATTTTTGAATACAGACAAATAACAGAGCAAGCCTTCTATTGCAAAGTTCAGAAAGATCATTGCAGGGCAGAACATTTTTGATACTGTGGATTACTGGGTTTATCTTGTGAAGCACACATCCATGTTTGCATACCTAACAATATTACTATTGCAGAACACCCCACAACATATCCCAGAATGCCTCAGCACCCTGATTGCAAATGACTGGGCTAAATCATCATCTGTTTGGTTAAAACATAACTTAGGTTAAGATATCTAGTGTCTGTCATCAAGAAATGAAAAATCCACCACTTCCCTTTGTATTTGGTCCCAGTCATTTAACAACTTCACAGTCAAAAATGAAAGCCTACTTTCTAATATGGGAGTGTATGGGGCTAGGGGACTGGGATCAGCATGGGAGTGCCCAACCCTTTAAATGCCCCAGGATTTAAAGGGGGAATAGGGGATGGGGGAATCAGAGCTAGCCCAGGAGCAGCTAGCAGTTCCCAGCCCTGGGACAGTCTAGCCTGCAAAAGCAAACGTGCACACTGCAAACAGTTGGGGTTCCAAATGCATGCAAAAAGTGGCTGAACTTAAGCCATTTAAACTCATGGCTTGCACACACGACCCTAAGTCACCTGTCAGTTTTCCTTTTGCTATAGGAACAATATTAAGTTTTCCATTGTAAGCCATTTTCTACCATGCTCAAATTATTTCTGTAGTTCTTGTTTGCTCCCTATCCAAACTTCAATTTGATTCTTAAAATGAGGATATCAGTACTAAATTCTAGTACTGGTCTCACCAATGTGGTACAGTATATTGAAGTAAAGACAATTCCTTATGTATACTTATTACTTTCTTGTCTTGATGTAAAGGATTTTATTCCTTGTTTTTGTTGCATCACTCTGGAAAGTCATATTCAGCTCTTTGTCTAGTATGACACTTAAATCATTTTCAGAGTTCTTGATTTTCCTAATACAGACCCCATCATACAGGTATGACCATCACTCCTGTTTCCTAGGTACATAACTCTGCATTTGACTATATTAAAAGACATTTTGTTGGAATGGGTCCAAGTTACCATTGTTACTGACTGGTCCATATAACTTGTCCTTCTCACTTCTTATTGAATCGGTGATTCTCCCGTACCTGAAGAGTGTCATAGCCAACAGACTCTGTTGCTTTTGCTTTTAAAATTTCTCTCATTTTGTCTCTGTTCCCCTAAATATTTAACTTCTCTTCATCCCCTAACCTAAAGAAATGTGGCAGCAAGTGAAATATTTAGTCAAATTTTACTGAGTCAACATTTTCATCTTTAGCTTGAGGTACATATAAATGTTCACTGCATCTGGGCTATGATGATACAGCTTACTTTATGCCATGTGCTCAGCCTCAGAGAGATGTGTACAGGTGTTTGCCAGTGTCAGGTGCTGTGCAGGGTACCTAGTGTAAGTAACTCAAGGTGAGGGGAGGGGCAGATAAGACAGAAAGTAACCCAGTCAGCATGAGGAGGTAGGAATTGCTCATGACTGATGCTCTCTCAACCCCAGGGTTGTGTTCTGAACACATGCAGATGTTCACTGGATTGGGTTAGTCATCATTTTTTGGCCCAATTTAAGCCCATCAAACATCTGCACAGGTAGCATTTAGATCAACCTCACCCTAATTAGGTCAATCTAAGTGTAATGTCTGTACATCAGAGCTTTCCAAACTTTTCATGTTGGTGACACACTTTTTAGACATGCATCATTTTGCGACACAGTAATTCAGTTCCGGGGGAGGGGCCAAGGGAAGCAGACGCGAGTAAGGGAGCTCCGCGGTGCCCTTCCGCAAAATTTTCTGCATTTCGCGCGACACACCTACACTCTGCCGCCGACACACTAATGTGTCGCGGCACACAGTTTGGAAAGCTCTAATGTACATACACATACAGTATAATATTATACCAGAATTAGCATACCAATTCAATGTTAAAAAACAAACTTTCCTATAAACAATCTCCATTTCAAATATTCATAATAAATTGGGTTTATTCTTTGGATAAAGATACCTATGGATTTGTGACAATTATACACTACTGGTTCTTACACATGCATAATAGTTCTAGTGTTTTTCTTTGTAAGAAGTTTTGTTCCCTAGTGACAGGTGTCATTATATAGAAAACTCACAAAATTAGTTTAATCCATCACAAAGAACTGAAAGGAGTAGTTGATGACAATTAAGTGCGTTTTTCATAATGGCAATAGCTAAGTAACTTTAGTACAATCTTGCCAAATACTGTAAATTGTTTGTTGTTGGTGGTGGTACTGGTCGTGTTTTGTTCTGTAGCAACTTGGTGGCTTTTTTCCCTATTCTATCTCTAAAGTACCTACATGTGATCCTGTTCCATGTTTTCTGAGTCCCTAAAACTTCTGTAGTATATCATCTTACCAGGCTTAAAATCACAGAGAAAAAAAAAAAGAAAATAAAAGCAGCAAAAAGGAAGAGTTACCCATCACATCAATTTCACTAATGATTATTTAGGGACTTCAGCAGGGTGTAATAGAATCACATTTAGGTGCCCAACTACAACTTAAATCCATTTGCAGTGAGATAAAGTTTTGGCCTGAGTCTCTTTAGCTCCAATTCATTAATGACAGTAAAATAAATTATTCTACAATAACTGTTTTGTTTTTCACTCTACAATAGACTACAAAGCATACATAGCTGAAGCCAGATGGTGCCATCATTAAAGACGTCAAATTAAAAGCTAGGAAGAATGCAGGACAGGATGAGACTTTATAGACTAACTTATTATGAATAGGGGATTACTTAACTTGTCCTTCAAAAAGGACAAGTAAAAAAAAAGCATTTTTGTGGCTTTGTCCTGGTATGAAGAGCCCATTATGTGGGCATTTTGTGGTGGCCCCACCCCTCAGCACTGATTGACAGAAAGACCCCACCCCTCAGCAGTGATTGGTGGAGAGGAAGGGCAAGGGGCAACTGTCATCTTATCTGCTGTCCCCTTCATACTGTCCTGCAAGCTAGTACCTTCCCCTCCTATGAAGGCTATGAGGCCCACTCACCCAGAAGAGAAAGATATAATAAAAAATAAGTTTTTTTTTCCTATGGCTTTCATGAGCAACCCTGGATTTTGCAGTTTCCATGAAATCCATGAAACCGAGATTTACGTAGGTCCCTAATTAGGAGAAACATAAGCTTTCATAAGGTATGGCCTACTTTGTCAGATGCTATGAGAGGACATGGAGGGAGGAAGGCTACTAATCAGAAAAAAAACATATAAAGAAAGTAGAGAAAAGCTGGGGCTTGGGGTTGTGGGAAGACAGCACCATTGAGAGAGGTGAAGGTGGGTTGAAGAGATGAAAAGGGATAAACAAACTGCTTAACCTTAGAGCAGTTAAAGCTAGTCCATGTACTGGGATAAGAATCCAGTCTCTTTTGAAACCATTCTTGATACAGTACAGTCTGTGGATGATTTCTTGGTCCACAAATCACGCATTCAGGTTTTTTAATTTTGGTTGTTTAAAAACAGCTATTCTGAGGTAAGTGATGGGATGTCCAAGGAAGTTAAAGCGTTCTGAAACAGAATTTTGCATCTTTCTGGAATTCACATAGGGTATGCCCTGTGTGCCCAATGTAGACAGAAAAGGATCACTTTATAAACAGTTGGTGTCATATATGACATTGGCACAGGAGCAGATGAATGAATCCCCAATATCATAACCTGTGCTGTGTGATCCAGTGATGACATGGTCTGAGTTGATCAGAAGGGTGCAGCTGACATTTCAGTCTGTTGCAAGGCCGGGTGGTTGGCTGAGAGTAGAAGTTCAATAGTCTGTTGCTGGAGAGAGATTGTTTGTGGTTGGGTCCAAACTGATTCTTGAATACTCTACCCAGCATATTTATTTCTTGGACACCACTGTGAAAATTTGCAATGGCCACATTGCCACCACATTTTATTGGAAACCAATATACCACTACAGTTGCCTTCATGCCATCATCCCACACCATTAGATTCACATCATCCACATCCACATTCTATGTTATGATCATATTTACTGTGATTCCACTGACTGGCATGCACACTAAAGATCCAGAGCAACAATTACTATACTTACAATATAGTCTTAACATTGTAGCTACTCAAATCAGAGCTAGAGTCAGACTCCATTCTGACCTGCCACCATACCAACCCTGTGACAAGGACAAAATAATCTCTCTTGTTACCTACATCCATGTGTTTTAACACCTTGGACACATGATTATTCATTAACATATCATTAACCAGAGGGCACATCATGCCTGTAAAGCCAACATACCAGGTTAGGTCAGGTTTTGTCTCGGTTCACTGTATGTCTGAGTGAAATATCCTTGTCTGTTTGGGGCAATATAGGAGATTATGAATGGGCTTTGATCAACATCAAAGAGTGAGACCATCCAGATTTCACTTAGCATAACCCCATTCAGTATGGTGGCTGTTGAAGTCGCCCGAATAGATTGCTGGTGTTGGTAGGACTGGTATATCTTTGGGTTGCAGAGTTTGTCTCTATGTGGTTTGTATGATGTTGTAATTGCCTAGTTTTACAGCTGCCTACTGTGTTGTGTTGTCTGCTGGAGATGTTTTAGGATTTTCATAGTGGATACCAGCTTTAATGAAGGTGGCGAGGCCATGTTATTTACTCACAACATGGGTAGCCAAGCAGTAGCCTCTGAGCTTCAGTTTGGCAGGGTCCTCTATGTGGGTTTCTTGTACTAGTACAGCAACTGCTTGGTATTTGGCAGTTTGTTCCAGGAAAATGCTTTTGAAGGATATGAAGCCCTCTATGTTCAGTTGGATGATGCAGGCACTGCTATCACTTTGAAGGCCAGGTTAGGAAACTTTCCTTTATCCCAATATTGTCCGTCTCTGATCACAATCACTGACTGCCTCATCACAATCACTGAGAACTGTCCAATCCCTAGATGGAACTTCAAAAAAGCACAATTGCCTGACTTCCTCATAAAAACAGAAAAGTTAGCAATCAAATTACCCCAGCTGACCAATGTGACAGATTTTAATGCTACCTATGAGGTCTTTGTAACAGGTTTGACAAAAAAAGCCAAGATGACAATACTGTCTGGTTTCAGAGTTAACTGCAGTCCCTGACAGTACCAACCTGCAACAACTATCTACAGACAATCACTACCTCAAGCAATAGCAGCAGCATCATTGATGCAACATAAAGACTCCAAGACCATATTAACACCATGAAAAGAGAACATTGGACAGAAATGGTAACAAATATTGACTTCACACACTCCAGCAAGAAAGCCTGGAACAAAATCAAAAAGCTCACTGGAGAAGGCAAGTCGAAACAGCAATGTCCTGTGAAAGCAGGCTCAATAGCAGAACAATGTATCCAGAACAGAAGGTTCACAAATCCTGATGAGAACTTCTCCGAAGAGATCAGGTACCAAGCAACTGCAATAAAATGCCAGCCCACTGAGGACCTGCATCTCATTGGTTCATTCACAAAACTTGAAATGAAAACTGCCATAGCCTCTATCAAACCCCCTAAAGCTGCATGATTAGATAATATCTATCCAGAATATGGGAGCCTGCCTAAGAGACTGACTGAAGGAGTTTCTGTCATCATGTATGTGAAAAAATGAAAGACCCAAATTCTGGAGACGAATTCACGTGATTGCACTACCCAAACCAGGCAAGAATGTTGACAACCCTATTAGCTACAGACCAATATCTTTGTTATCAGTCGTCTACCATTTGCTGGAAAGACTGATCCTAAATAAGGTGACTGATATCACTGATCCACAGATACCACCAGAACAGGCAGGATTCTGTAAAAATAGATGCACCACTGACCAGGCAGTAAGGCTTACTCAAGACATTGACGATGCTTTTCAAAGGAGGGGAAAAGCAGGTACTGTGCTGGTAGATCTAACAGCTGTATATGATACCATCTGGCTAAAATGACTGGAGTGCAAACTACTCAGGATGATCCTGAGAATGGAAGAATGGTGGTCTTTATCACTAATATAATATCAAACAGATCCTTCATCCTCTCTACCAGCAGAGGAGATAGAAGCAGATACAAGCATCTGTGTAATGGGTCAGTGCTAGCAGCCACAAGGATCAGTGCTAGCAGCCACCCTTTTTAACATCTATATATCTGATGTTCCACCCACCACAGTATGCCTATGCAGAT